ATCAGACCATGCAAGACCTGCTGCATTATTCGTTGGAATGTAGCCGATGCGTTTACTAGTCCGAACGGCATCGTCCGGAGCTCGTAGAGCCGCGATGATGTGGAAAATGCTATTTTGAGGCGGTCTTTTCATCTACTTCCACTTGCTAGTATCCAGATGTTAATTTCAGAGTACTGAAATATTTCGACCAATGCGTCGAACAGATTATTGACTCGGCAGTGGAGACGCATCGTTTTTGGTTACTTTAATCAACTGCCTTTAAGTCGACGCACAAACGGAGGTCGCCGTCTTTCCTTCTTACTAACACTATAGGAGCAGATCATGGGGAAGTGGAAGATTGGATGACGTTACATTCCTCCATATGCCGAATGGTCTTGACCAACTCATTCATCCAAAATGCCGGTATGCGTCTATGAGGAACCTTTATCGGTGGGGCGTTTCCTGTACCTATTCTATGTTTCACTTAGCTTGTCCGCCCCAACTGAGTGTCACTCCACGTGTATTCATTAGCATACTGTTCGATCACATGCTAAAGTTCATTGATGCATTAGGGCTAAACTCCTGGAGAATCGTTCCTGATTAAATCACAGATTTTCAGTCTGAATGGAGGGGCAATACCTTGTGGTGAAATCAGTTGTTTACCGTCATCGGTACTTCTCACTGGAGCTCATCCCCAAAACCTGGTCTGGGGTTGTGTGAATGCGACTCGCTGGTCCCTGATCGTAATCGAACACCTTAGAGGAAATCAATTCTCAGGACGACATCCCACGGCAAACCGTCTGACGCAATTAATGTTTATGAAATTATCATGTCATTCACTGTGATAGGGGCGATTAGTGTGTCCTTGACGTGTAGGAGGCCGTTATTTGCCGTTACTCGTTTGACCCCTATTTCACAAAGTGGTATATCTAAGAAGATTTTCCTACTGTGGATTACTGAGCGAGCCGTACCCGTGTCGATCAATGCCTGCAACCTTCTCCCCCATAACATGATAGGTAGCATGGGGCCACCTTTTAGGTCACGGCAGTTAAATGAACAGAGAGAAACGGTGGACTCACAGATTTGGTTATACCTGCATGTGAAGGCACGCGTATCAAGATTTATGATCGTTATCAGCCACAGACATTACAGCCGGTTTACCTGCTTAAATGGTCTGCAAGATTTTGCATCATATTTGCGAATAGAAGAAGCTACAAACAAGTGCCATTTTCCCCTATGAAATACGAAATGCATTAATCTATGCGAATTGGAAAGCTTGCTACAAACAGTTCACTCCAACATGGAGGAAAATCCATGATCAAAGTCTCGGTAGGAACATAAAAGTATTATTCACTTACGGCGATTGAAACCAGGGAGGGAAAATGACTGATAAGGGCCCTTGTTAGTCATCATGTATATTCCAATCAATGGTCAATGAGATTTTTTCGTAAGAATTACAAACGAAGTAGGCAACAGAATTTTCAGTTACATTTGGGTATAGATTTAAAACGGAGAAACAGATGAAAGCACAGACAGACAGACAGACAGACAGACAGACAGACAGACAGACAGACAGACAGACAGACAGATAGACAGGGGCTTGTTGACCACCTGATTGACTGACTGACTGACTGACTGACTGACTGACTGACTGACTAACTGACTGCAGCTTACTGAATGACTGATTGATTGAATGATTGACTGTCTGACTAAATTGATGAATAAATGTCTGTCCTGATTGTTGATACCGGGTAACTTCCTTTTCCAGTAAGTGTAAAATGAATTCCTGGGTAAAATTGACGTACATTTCCCTTAAACACAACTACTGATCTGTTCACCAGAAAACTACCAGAACGACTTTCAACGAAGTATGATACACTAGCAAAAAGAGCAGAAGAAAAAGAGCAGAGCGGCAACAATTCTAAATGCTTACTTTTTATGAAAATCAAACTGATTGTAAATTAGAAGCAGGAAAAGAACATTTTGTTTATCATATTGGTAATATAGTGTCTTGACAGCAGATGCAACTGTAACAAACATTGCAACTTGGGTGCAATTGTCTCCTACCGTTCTAGGTAAACATATTCCGGTTAATGATGGTCGGAAACTCGAAATCCTTTATGCTTGTTGATCTTTAAGATAGCATTTAATTTATTATTACGAACCTAATGGAAAGAATGATGAAATTTATTATCTTAAATTATACGTTTGTAATCAATCACTCAGCACTCAAATAGTAATTAAATATATCAAATAAATCAGCGGTTACATGTTCCGAAGTTTTTCATTCATGAATTTGTATGCTGCTTTCATAATCCCAGGTACCGGTCATCGATTTGTTCTGGCCAGTTCCGTTAGCTCCGGGGCTTGAACAGTTAGTTACCGCGATAGACCAGCTGGACTTCTGGCTTCACAATCACGATAATGGATATCAGTTTGGAATGGGCCAAGACGGGGTCCCGGTCGATCCGGCCACCAATCGTGTTGCCGTGCTACACTGTACGGGACCGCGAAGTTTGCTCGCCACTTATTTGGCGGTGTACATTTGTCAATCCAAAGCGCGTTTTGGACCATTGTGTGGTCAACGACCGGGTTCACCCACGGCACGTGGACTACAGTGGAATGAGCACCGATTCAAACGGTAAGTTAATTTTAATGAGAAGTATACTCAAAGAGTAAACTTGAGCCATTCTGACCAATCAAATACAAATGAAAAAACGTGGTAGAATTAAAAGATGCTGTAAAGAAATTTTATTTTCTTGTGCTCGACCTTTCAGATAAACTAAGATCAGTGATTTCAGTTACTAGATCATTTATTCATCTGCATCAAAAGCCACGGAGTAGTGCTTTTTTCTATCAAATGGCATTGTGTAATAATTTTTACGAAGATACTCGTACATATCAAAGCAACCATTTTGATTATTTTCCTAACCTTCCAATTAGTGACTTATTCCGTGGAATCCCTTTCGAATGCTAGACACGACAAACTAAGTCGAGGTCCCCAAAGAATTGATTTGGCCTCTCCGATTTAGCTTACTCTGATCAGCAATGATCATTGAACGATCACACCGAGAAACAAAACAAACTTAAGCGCTTCCTTAACGTGGCCGACACGCTAGGTGCATTTCGTCCTTTTACATGTACAAAACCTTAACTATCGAAAGAGGCTGTACCTCAGTATTAAATAAACGTCAGTGGAATCCAGTGTATTTCTTGTGATCGGTTGTTATAATTAGTTGCTTTTATTCTAAGCACATTGCCTGGTCACAAACAAAAGAGAGCATAAACAAAAAGAGACCCATACTGTCCTGAAGTCTCTAGTTGCCCCAATTGGGACCTGGATAGCGGAAATCGTATTAGTGTAAGGGAGTATTTCAATTCTATGTACGACGTATGTATGTATATTTATACATATATATATATATATATGCATGATAGGTTATAACCCACCTACACTAGATTCCATCAGGTAAAGTCAAGGGAGATGTTATCAATGGTACGCAATTTAAATCTTGCAGGTTACGAAACAATAGTACCGGTGCCTAATTAGTAACCGAGTTACTCAATAAACCCAAAGCATGCAAGAGATTTATCTGACTTTATTGGAAAATATCAGTCTCTTATTTTATTCACTGTTCTTTTTTTAAAGTTACTCTGGATTGATTGTTATGATTCATTGTAGAAAGTGTTTTTAAAACTAATGAACTACCACAAGAAAGATGTTTAGGATAGATACCATTTGACCAATTTCGAATGGTGTAAGTCATAGCGACTGGCTATATTGGATAGAGGACATGTACGCATCCCTTGTAAAACAGTGCTCAATAATGATAATTAACTTTAGTCATTCAACAAAATGCGACTCGGCTTCGATTTTCAAAGTTAACTCAGTGATATTATGAAAAAAGACTCACTATATGTGAATACGTAGTGNNNNACCATCCAAGAATCTGGGCGTACTTCGTGTCTATGAAGCACCGTGCATAATGATCTCCCTCGTTGCCTCATCCGGTAATTTTATACTGGTAACAGGATGAAAGCCACTTGGACTCTTAAGGTGTTTGACCAAACAACAACTGGTTCCCATATACCGTGTAAGGTTTTAATTTATACTATGAATTCGTCGTGTGAACGAGGCTTGAGTGGGAAAGCTGGGAAGCACTGAACAGCCATACCGATCTGGTTGGGTCTCGCCACCAGCGATAATCCGCTGACCCAACTGGGTAGAATGAAAAGCGGTCTGATCAACTGCCCGGTGGCCGAGTAGGTAGCATGCTTACTTCTGCATGTGAGATCTCGAGTTCCATCCGAAGTTGGGTCGATGAATTCGCATTGTTGAT